ATATAAAATTTTTAATCAATTGTTATTAAATAAATTAAAATATTTTGGTGAAATTATATTTTGGTGGTGTGGTGATTTTCCTTTACTTTTAATGTTAATGAGCCGTAAAGCGATAGTTATGAAGGAAACTCAGAACTAAACTCAGAATTAAATACTATCATTGTTATTGCTGTTGATAATTTTTAATTTTTACGAACTATGATAAATGATAATTTTCACAAATACAATATATAATTATGTATAATTATGTATTATATAAATATTGACTTAATTATGATCTTATCACTAAAAATATTTGATAAATGTTGACCACAGTTGATTATTGATAGTATTGTAGAAAATTAAAGCAAATCCTTAACATGAGTGGTACAATGGTACTGTTGAAAAACTGAACAGAAAAAGAAAGAAAAAATAGATAAACAAGAAAATCGAAAAAAATGTTTGATAAAGACGCCAATATCCATGATTATAAGTAAAATGGTTTACCCTACAGATTGGGAATATTTCCTATAAACCTGGTTATTTCTCGTTTAGAATTCTTTGCGACTTCATGATTTCGCCACATAAACTTACTATTTCCAACGGAAACACATTTAAGTACTAATTCAGTGTAAATTATAATACATTTATTTTATTGTTGCTGTGTCGCAGCTCATCGATCTTTTGCAAGCGTAAACTACTGTAGGAAGTGATTATTTATTTTAGATTTTCATTTTTTGAAAAATTTGAAAAATTTGAAAAGTGAGAAAGATTCTTCTTTCTTTTTAAATGTCCAAAAAAAAGAAAATTCATTGAAATTACAGGATAATATTTGTTCCAAATTTCAGAAGGTCCCAATTTAGTTGAGGAAAAGCAATATTTGGATAGAATTACTAAAATATCGAGTGGTTCGATGAAACTAAATCGAATTTTCGCTTTGAATGAACTCGAGAAATGCTATAAATTGCATATCGGAGGTTTTTAGGCAATTTATTTGTTAAAAATCATATTTGATTAGTACCATTAATGAATAATGATAAGAAGGTTTGCTTCTATCATAATATCACTTCTTATTTTATTTTTCTTTTTTGAAATCCTTACGTTTTTTTTTTTTTGTAGTTTTGATTTATATGGCTATTAAACTGGATAAAAATCAAGATTCGTTTCTCCTAGCAAATATTAATACGCTATGGAATGAAATCGAGAAGGCGATAAAGGAGGAGGCGAAGCTGAAATAAGGCGAAACTGAAAATCGTTTGAAGACATTTCTATTAAAAATTTATGGAAGAAATTATTATTATTATTATTATAATTTTTTTGTAATTCTAGCGATCTATAATTTTTCTAATTTATTTGCAGTTGTTTTTTCTTTCAATTGCTATAAAGATAAAAATTTTTTTTATCGTTTATTTTATTCTATATTGCTGATAATTTATACTAATTTGATTCGACTTATTTCAGCTTTTTTTTTTATTCGAAATAAAAATTAATAAGCACCTCTCGACTCGGATAGAATATATTAAAAAAGATCTATCCAATATCTAAATCGTCATGGAATCATGGATTTGACCCATTTTATACTTAATTATGATTATACTTAATATTTACAAGTGTATAAGAATTGAGAACATTTCACCTAAGGAAATGTTTATAGTTTAGTAAATTTATAATAATTGCACCTCATATTTCCCTCACCATTTTCGTTCTTCTGGTTCATATTGGTAGCTTCACTAAAATGAATTTAGACACAATGAACAATACTATCTACGCTGGATAAGTGAAAAATTTTTTATTCACATAGTATAAATGAAAAATCAATTTGCATTAAATTTCTTCTCATTCCCTCCACTGGTTGTTAGTATGGTGAGAAAATTTTGGTGAATTATAAATGAGTCGCAAGCACCACTCGGTTTTTTTAAGAATAACAGGTTTATGTCAACGCATCGCAGCTAATAGTTACTGTCATCAAAGCGAAGGAATCAAATCTTGATATGAGCAGAAAGGATAGGCGAAAGAATAAATCAACAAAAAAACCGAAAAATTCTTGATAGAACTACATTATCTCTTATAAATACCAATGGCTTACTTTGCAGGTTGGCAGAATTATTTTTTAGCCTTCTCAAAAAACCCGAATGGTTCCATTAATATCTCCCTGAGGCCTTATAATTCTTACTTAATCGAATCGTATTCAATGGAACATGATGTATGATATGAACGGCAATATCAGTAAAGCACGGCAAACTGGAAATGTAACTGGAAATTCCTGCTTTGATGTCTAAGGAAAATTAGGTTTTTTCCTGTTATATATCACTTCTTATTTTCTTTTTTTTATCGAAATTCTCTTCGTTTTAAATATTGCAAATATTCTCCTTGCACACATTGTTTTTGCAGCTATGGTTATTGAATTGAATTGCACAAAATCAAAATTTGACGATGGATAAAGGCTGAAAATCGTTGTAGACTATTAAAAAATTATAGAAAGATATGACGATATCATTTTCTATTCCTTACCATTTCTTTTAAAATTTTTTTTCCAACTGCTGTAGGAGTGGTAAATTTTTTAAATTTTATCACATTGCTGATAATTCACTGATTAATATTTCTAAGCATTTTATCACATTATTGATAAATTTTCTGATTAACATTTCCAAGCTTTTATTCAAAGCACTTAGTTGTTGTGTCACTCATTTTTCTTATTTCGTAATTAAATGGAAATCTGCCGATCCGATCATTTTTTTTATCATTATGACAATATCATTTTATCATCTATGTAATTTTAATTTTTTTTTTTTTGTTCGGTGATCAAATCTGATACAAAATGGCGTCCGTGCTATTTCAAACTGTTGCACTCCACGCAACAGTTTTTATGCGGAGTATTAAACAATAATTCGCAATAAGTTTTATTTCTGTCCGAAAAAACCGAAAGAATTTATTATAAAAAAATAAAAAAGAATAGAGGACTTTTCACAATAATGAGTCGGCTAGTTAATATTCAAATCATACAAAATTCACATCTATGAATTCTAAAAAAGAAAAAAAAAACTACTTTGTTTACACATTTTGGATCCTTGAAAGAAAAAATAATAATTTCTATACAATTTTTATATGATTTGCATAATAATATTATAAGCTCAACCCACATATTGGAAAAAAAGAATAAGTTCATAGAATCAGTTCGAATAGTGCCTGAAAAAAAAAAACGAAATGAACTTCGACCAATTTTTTCTCTCAAACCAGAATTCAACGCGACATTCTCCTTCTTCCTTAACCCCTACTCTACTCGTCTCCTTGACCCAATTATTTATACTATTGTAATATATTGGTGCGATAAATCAACGGTAAATGCAATCATTTTTCGAATAAGGTCTTTTCCCTTCCGACTCAAGACAACTTTCATATTTGAATTGAAAATATATCATAAAAAAAAAATGAAAGGAAAAATAAAAATGAAAAAGGGAAATAAAATAAAAAAATAAAGAAAAGAAAAATAAAAATGAAAGAGACCTTATTCGAAAAACAACTGTGAATATCACATTAACCAAGGAATTTTTGACCAATTATGGCCAACTTTTCAACACCCAAAATCGACAATTTCTTCACCATATGTACGATTTTTTTTCAACAATATTTTTGAAAGACCAATACCGAATGAAGCATTCTGAAGTAATTTTTATTAATTTACATCAGAAATAAAATAATTAGAGTAAATTTTAGAGAAAAAATTAAATAACTGAAAATTCATTCGATATTTACTGAAAATTTCTGGGAAAAACGGAATTCACTCTTACGAAAAACTTTAAATTCGCTTCTCCTTTCTCCTCAGTTCCTTAATCATTAATTTTATTGCTTCTCTATTTTTTTGTCTAAAAAATTCTTTGGCCTAAATTCTTTGCTATTGCCAATTTTATCTTAGAATATTATATGTTTCAGGTCCCCATTTTTTTCTTCATGAATCTTCATAGTTTCAAACACCACGTTAACTACATAATTTCTCACATATAGAATCAAATATTATATTCACACGCTTTTGCACGAACGACTTTTTACTTAAAATGGTTTGTTGATGAAAGGGAAGGGAAGTTTTTAAGGTGTAATATCAAGAAAATTTTAAACGAAATCAGGATAAAATTAAAATTTTTGGTGTTAGTAACCAAACAAAAATTTATAATAGAAAAATTTGATTTAACAACGGAAGAAATGATTCTGAATGATAACTGAAGAGAAAAATAAAAATTATAGATTAACAAAATTAAGAAATCGAAATCAATTACAGACAATTTATTGGCCTTTTTTAATAAACACAATAAATTTTTTAAAAACATTTCAATATATGAAGATTTAGAAAAGTGGGAACAACGATAATGAAGAGGATATTTTTATTATGGCTGATAACTCATGTGGATTATCGCAATAGAACTGGTTTTTCGAGCTACTAAGAAATCATAATGGAAATTCTATCATTTCAAAATTTAAAAAATCGATGATATATTTCACTTTTATTTCTATAACCATTAATATTCTTTATTTATTAAATTATTTATTACTCTAGGACCATATATATGCATATATATATATATATATATAATATAATGGAATAACATAATGGCTAAAGCAGGCGATTATTATGGAATGCATATGGAATGTGGCAACAATAGCTCAAAGTGTAACCTAAGCTTCGACTTTTCCGGTGGCGACCCTCTGAAAGGCTTACCTATATTTCTCCAATCTCCTAAGCTTTTCGTAGAGGGCAGAAGTTGAGGATGGCCCACACCTCTCACAAGGGATGAGAGGAAATTTTTTTTTTTAATAAAGAAATGCTTAATATTTTTTTAAAAAAAATCTCTTTCTCATTCCTTGTAGATGGAAATGATTATCCTCAACTTCGAGTCTTCTACCAGAGCTCAGAAGAATGAGGGTTCTGCGTAATGTCTTACCATCCTAAAAGTTTCAAAATTAAGAAAAAGATGAAAAAGAAAAATTAGAAAAAAGATTAAAAAATATGACTAACTTGACTTAATCAATTATTCCTCATCATCACTAATATTAATCACCTCATTCGTTTCAATAGGGCCTTTTGCTTGATCTGCATCAGTTGGCAATAACAATTTTCTTTTTGAATGTGATTTTATCTTCGTAAAATGATCTAAGAAAAAAAACAATAAATAAAAACATATTTTCTTAACATAACTTCACATAATATTGAAAATTTTCATCGCTTTGCCAAATCGACAAGGATCAATTGAGGTTGATAGTTGAATTAGCCTCAATTTGAATGTGATAAGTTAGTGGTTTAGTGACCAAAAAAATTTGCCAATAATATATCAAGAATGATTCGAATCTAATCGACACATCACACTTTCTACGAATAGCAGTGTTGCCGAACGGTGAATGCATGACTTAGCCAAAACGAAATTTTATTAGCATGTGATCATTCATGAATCCATGTGATTCGGTCTAGAAGCTTGCTTTTATGGACTTGTTCAAACAAAGAGTTAAAAATCTGATAATTTATCAAATTGCCCTACTACTGCCCTATTGATGGATCCTTTTAAAAGCAGAAATCATCCTCTTAGTGGTCAAAAAGACTTGTTGAGATATTTAGAGCGTTCCATTTTTATGAAACCATGAAACCATGAGGACGAAATTACCTCGCAGTCTATGAACCGGAACTAAGTTATGTACTCCTTTAGTCTTTAGATTAGCTTCTTCAAGTAAGTCAATCTAATATTTTATCAAACATGCAAATGAAAGTACCGTATGGTTCAGTAGTTGAAGTTTGCGTAGCAGCATTCATGACACTTTTTCGATATTTAGGATACATATTTTCGATGTATTCGAAGAAGGATGGACGTGGATCTTTATGAAATTTTCGATTTTTGAATTTTTATAATTTTTTATTCTTTAAATTTCTTCTCAACAAAAATATGTCGAAAACTTGTATAACTAAAGGAGTAATTTATTCGAAATTTCATGTTAATTCTGCAAGAAGTTTAAAAAAAACACAAGATCTAATCTAAAGATCCTACCAGAAAGATAAGCAAATAATTTTTGTGCATAAGGTTCATGTGGCCCAATGGACGACTGTGAAAATATTTGCACTGAGCCCTTTTTATGAGCCTCATGGGTATCATGGTTCTCCATCTCCGGCGAGATGATTGGGAGATGTGAAAATTTTGCTGCCATTTCCGAATATATCGCCGAATTTTTTTCCCAATCCGTCACCTTGCGGTAAATCTGAATCATTAATTTTTTTAAAATTGAGAATTTTCCAGCTCTTCAACCAATTTTCTTTAAAGAGAAAGGAAAAAAATTTCCTCTCTCGCCTATTAATATTTCTATTATATGTAATAAAAAAATGAAGGACCGAAAAAAACCTCAGTTCCAGAAAAATTTTTTTTAATATATTCACTCAATTCTAAAGCGAATTCGTATATTCTCATGAAATTACCCGTTAACTCTGCAATAGCTTCGTCCTAAAATTAAATATCTAAAAGAATCTGAAAATGCAAAATTGTTTTTTGCTCACTTTTAATAGATTTGGAAAAATTCTGAAATGAAAATTGAAAAGAAAGAAGCTGGTATGTATTTTCCAAAATGTTCAATCAATAGAAATGAATTCAAGAAAATTGAAAATTTTGTTTTAATATTAAAATCTATTTAATTTGATGCAAAAAATTTACTTTTTTCTGACATTTTTGCCTAAGATGGAATTCAATCTCTCTGCAAGGGATTTTTTCACACGGCATACATTCGTAAAAATTTGTTAAGGCCTTAAAAAAAAACAAATTTTCAATTTGTTCCGAGGAAAATTGTAGCAAAGCATAAATTTTAGAAAAATCCTCACCTGCACAAAAAGAAGCCTCCAGTGATTTTTCATAAATGAATAAAGATTGTATTAGAATTGAGAAACTGGGAATTTCTATTCTTTTTCTTCTTTCACTGGTTATAACAATGAATATCAGTCTAATGTCAAACCTTTCACTACATAAATAGGCGAATTGCCAATGCTTTCAAAATCTTTCAAATAATCTTTCTAAAAAATCTTTCTAAACCTCACTTATCTATGTATTGTTTGAGCTTCCGCGTTTTTAATGCCATATATTACATGGCATGGCACATAACCAGATTTGATCCCTTTTATCTCTTCTCTCTTTTATGGGCAGCGAAGCAGCTTAGATGACACTCAATGACCACTTAATGCAGATTAATGCAGAATGCAGAGGAATTGAAACGAAAGTAAATTATGCGAAACTGCAGGAAGAATGCAGACATCAGTCAAAAGTAGCTTCTTGATACCCATTCTCATAGGGCTATATTTCCAGCAGCTTGGCAGAACTTTATTAGAGTTGCAAAGATAAGACTTTTAGCTTTGATGAATTCAAGATAAATTCACAAATACCATCAACCTGGTTAAAATGGCGGTTCCATGCAATCTTTCTCCCAGAACTAGATAAAAGGATATATTGGTGGCAAAAAGCCCACAGTTATTTTTCCCAACAACAAAATCAAGGGTGAAAACACTCCCTACATAAACACCAGTCTTTCCTGAGCAAGGCTATGCCGCCATTTGGAAGAAAATCTCTTAGCGAATAAAGTTCAGTACTGTCTTGGCAACTATTTCAGTCGCTCATATATACATTAGTGACAAAATTTCTCTCTGAAACGAGCATGGGTCACTCGATTGATAAAACATCCTCACGCAATCTGAGCTTATTGAGCTTATTGTTATTTAATCCATAATAAATGCTAACCCTCTTAGTTATCCGGATTGTTCTGAACTGATAAATGCTTTCAGAGCGAGGAAAATTATAGGATAATCTCTAAGAATGAGAAAGAAAAACGATGTGAGTGAATAAGTGAACCTTGATACCCTTAATAGGCATCCATTAAAATCTCTTACCAATTCAATGATCATTTTTTGAGTTACAGCCATTTTAAGAAAAAGACGATATAGTTTCTTATACCTAATAGAGCAGTCAACTCCGTTTTCAAGGACACATTATTCCAGTGTTGCTGTCGTTTAAATATTCGAAACATCCGATACGGTCTCCTGATGTTCGCACTTTGACAATTTTTTCAGACAGTTGGATAGATGCTTCGGATGCCCAATTAGCTCATTTTCTACTAGCATAACCTCATATGGAATAGACTGCCTTTCGGAGATATCCTTATTCATTAAGACCAGTTGAGACCAATATTCATCAACCATTTCAGAGATATTGTTTCGGATTAAAATGCACTTGCTATTCGCGAATTCTTTAAGTTGAGATAGATGAAAGACCTTGGGAGACGTTGGGAGTTCCTTGGGAGTTTTGAGAAAAAACTTGGGTTGAACCATAACATGGTTTGATCCATGAAGATTATCAACTTCAACGCCCCAAAAGGAGCAAATTCATACAACGACAAATACAAAATATAACCAGTCTGGTTGGAGTGTTGGTTATTCGGATCAGCAAAGTGAATATGACGTTCCCCATTGTTGCATCGGACCCCAATACCATATTTGCCAATTATTCGTTCATCGTTACATCGTGACTTGCGCAAATTTCAGTCTCTTTTGATCATGACCATGTCACTGGTGAGAAGTTCTTTGCAGTTGAAGCCCACTTAGGACCTATCCTCATTGCGGTCAATTGCGCATGTAAGCTAATAGAAATATTGCTGAAATTCTCTTTGAAACTCGTATAGGCCATAAGGTCGTATACTGGCTTCCACACAACTGGAATTACACGAGACCTAAATTAAGGAAGATGAACTTGTGACTAGCAGGCGATATCCACAAGGTATTTAAAAAGAGTATGGACAGTCATCGCTTGATTTACAATATCCATAAGCATTCCAAGCAGCTGTGGGCAACACCGCACCGCGATCAGAGTACCGGCGAATTGTTTCTCTAGTTTTCTTTGTCAAATTTCGAGCATTTACATTGGTTCGCGTTTCGACATTCCTTGACCAGAGCCGTTACTAATATTTTTATATCTTTTTTACAGCTGCCAAATTTGTTTTGCACATTTATCACAAAATATAATCAAAATAAAATTATTATCTCTGCGGCAAACCGCAGATGCCTTTTAAAAAAACTATAGAGTTAGCTATAAAAAATGGTTAAAATGATGAAAGCTTGTAAGATTAAAATCAAAACGTTATTATTAATATTATTAATAATAATAATTATAATTAATAGTTAATATTAAATAGAAAAAATATTAAAGCGATACCCTTCTGAGTTCATTTTTTGTAACGACTCGCTTTTTTAACTTCGTTCCATTTCCATAATTTTGATAATTTTTAATTTTATTAAGCAAACTTTCAAGTGATGGAATAGCGTTTGGCATCGTTGAATTATTACAATTTTCATTAATATCAATATATTCAATTTCATTATCGATTTCACTCGGCCCAATATTAGAAATATTCGAAAATTTTTCAGAGTTCATTTCTTTGAGAAAACTGAAATTGAAAAATTGATGAAATGAAATTTTAAAAAAAAAAATTCTAATAAAAAAATTCTAAAAAAAAAATTTAAAAAAATTTCATGGATTATATTTTTGAAGTGATAAATTTATTCATAAAAAAATTGAAAATTTCTCAATGATAAAGCGTAAAATTTATGGTAGAGAAATAAATAAATACTTCGAAAAATAAGTATTAGAAATAAATAAATATTATAAAAATAAATATTACAAATAAATAAATATTATAAAAATAAACATTATAAATAAATAAATATTACAAAAATAAACATTATAAATAAATAAATATTCTACAGAAAGTTAAAATAAAAAGAAACACTAATGAAAATCCATTTGCCCACAAATCCAAATAATCAAAATATTAGTCCTTAGGCTAATATTCCTGAAAGCGTTAACGTTCGGCATATCAACAGATTATTCAACGGAAAATTTTCTAAATGGCTGGAAAATGATACTTTCTTATAAGAATTAATTAAGCATTTAGCACTCATAATCCCCGTGGTACTTCGAAAAGCACTTCAAAGAGGTGCTCGACTTTAGAGGTTCAGAAACAATCCATTCACGCAAAACTATCTCGCTTTAATGGTTTGTGCGTTTATTTCAATAATTTCAAATAGGTATAAAGATTCCAAGTGACTGAGATTGCACAAAATATGGTACTCATCCTACGAGTAACAAGAATCCAGTCGTCCTGTGGATCTTTTTCGCCTTTTCCAGGTGCACTCAAATATTTCTTTCCTAATGAAATTGATGTAAAATTTCGAAGAAAATTTATATAGGACGAAAGTCTTATAAAATCACAATGACTAAATAGACAAACAACCACTCATTCATTATTTGCAACCCCCTCTCACCTCCACCCACCTTTTCCATGCAATGAAAGCAACCGCATTTTCATGAGTTGCTTTAAAATTGCCGCATTTCGGCGAAGCTGAATGACTCGTCCACAATCGCAATATTCGCCAGCTCGAAATACTTTTCGGACTCGAACTACGGTGACGAGTTGGATGAGTTCCATGGTTCAATTCGGCGAACCCCGTCGTAGGGTGAATTGCCCGGCGATTAGGTGGTATCACACTGGGATTTCATTTAAAACAATGGCTTTCGCATTCATCAAACTCCACTCGCCTTCTTTCCGGCTCATACAGTCTTTGAATATTGGACTTAGAGTAAAAATTTCCGTGCATTATGAAGAGTTTCCAGGCTTTTGCATCAGCAGCCTCCATGTCTTCCTTTGTTCGTCTTATAATGCCAGCTGCCAGTTGCGTACCTGATAACTGGCAAGGCTGACAAGGTATTTATTTTTAGCATGGATTTTGTTCTTTCTATTGAGCTGACTCTTCAAGATTTGTCTTATCCTTTGGTGATACTTGGTTATTGCAATTTTCTTTAGCTTCTCATCGCGATTACCAATATGACTATGAGATACCTCTATTTCTGTAGTGTATCTCCTTGTCTAGTGGCTGTAAGCCTTTGTTTCTCGGGATTTCTGATAGGACTTATATTCTTCTATATATATATATATATATATTATATAATATATCGGAGCGCCGATTCCAAGGTTCTATTCCCAGCAAGAGTAAACCTGTCCAAAAATTCAGGTGATGCTGGCGATTCACCTCTATTTCTATCACCAAGGCATTTTCTGGTATATTTGTCTAATGCGACAAGCCAGCGGAGCGAGTTTAACTGGTAATGCTAAAAACTCCTTAAAAATATATATGTATATATATATAAATTAAGATTATTTAGTTTTTAAATTTTCTCCGAAGTGAATGTGTTTTTATATCCAATTTTAGGATTGGTTTTTTTTAGGACTGGTTTTTTTCGATGAATGTTTTAGTATTATTAGTGTTTTTTATTCGTAGATATTTTTTTCGTTTTTTGTTACAAATTAATAGAGCTATTGGAATTTTATAAACTTTTTATAATTATAATTATCAATAATTATAAGATTGTAAAATTATGCCAAAAATATAATAAATTTATCAAAAGGATTTATCAAATTATTTATTTAAGTTTTGTTTAAAGATTTTTTGTTTTATAAAGATAAATTTTTTAAAAAACTTTATATAATTTTTTATAAAAATTCTTAATTCTTATTCTTAAATTCTTATAAATCTTTAAAAATATTTTATATATTTCATAAAATATCGAAATTTTTTTACAAAACTTAAAAAATTTTTCCACGTAAACGATCTTATCATAAATGAAGCAATAAATTATAAATTGTGCATTAACCACTTATTTAAAGTATTTAAAAAAAGTCGCGAGAAGTTTGCTGGTATTTTATTTCGTCGCAATGTATTGCAGTATATTTCTTGACGAAACCAGAAAAATGTATTGCTCGATGCCTCAGTTTAATGTCTCATGAAGAGCTACGAAATCGAAAATCGCTCCCAAACTTTATATTTAATATTTATCCTAAAAAAAAAAAAAAAACTCAAATCATTTATTGCTTCAGCAAAAAAAGGAAAACTAGAAATCCGGAAGAGTAGAACGAGGATCAGCCAAGATTGGATTAACAATGAATAAAATCATGCAGTATCAAATTTGTTTTCTCAAAACGGCGAGAACTTTTAGAATGAACAAACAATATTTGTTGAATTTTTTAAAAGTCTTTATTTTTTTGGCAAATATAATTTGTCATAATTTAATATCTAAAAAAAATCTTCCTAGAATTTTGCACAATCGCAACCAATATTTTGCCATATTTGGATGGAATTTTTCATTAATCAGTAAATCATCAGTAATCAGTAAATAAAGCGTTTCTTAATCATTAATCATTAAATAAAGTGTTTAGCGCCTATCATTTTTTAATGTGTAATTTATATTAATAGAATTTGAAATTTTCTCCTTAGGACGAAAATTTGAGGCTGAAATGCAGCTGGTTTATCAGTAGTATCCTAATTTTTGTAAACTGAAATTGTTAAAGGAAGGATTCAAAGTTCATGCGATAATCTAAGCAACAACTACTATTCCAGAATATCGGTTATTCCAGAAAAATATATTACACCATGTACAATGCGCCATATGCACCATGTTACCATACATAATTACATTAAATTTGATGCATTTAAAATTATTTAACTATTGAAAATAGTATACTTGCAAGAAAAATTAAAAAGGTTGCTTAGGTTCAACTGGCAAAAATCTAGATTAACCGCCTTTCAAGAGTGCATGGCTCAGTGGGTTGTTGCTCGCTTTCTGAAGCACCAATGCTGATGTTCTATTCACAGCAGGTGAAAACCGTCCTTCAAAAATGCGGATTATGCTAGCGACATAGATGTAAACTGTGCTATACTACTATAAAAGTCCTCACCATTACTGGTTAAACTCGCTCCACTGGCATTTGTCGCATTGGGCAATATGCCAGGAGTCCCTTGGTGATAGAAGTACAGGTGAATCGCCAGCATCACCCGGATTTTTGTATAAGTTTATTCCTGCGTGGAATCGAGCGACTTAGCGACTCTATTTCTATCGTTAAGTGATTTTATTTTGTCAAAATTTTTCAGGTCGATAAACCAGAGGGTGAAAGAAATCCTCTTTTCTCCTCTAAAAAAATCTTAGTTATTTTAATTATTATGAGGATTCATTTATGAGTCTTATACTCGATTAATTAAGACTTTACGAGTGGTTAAGTGGTTAGAATTTTGAATTAAACGCGATTATTAAACGCGTTGGTTATTTATATGGCTAGAAATTCTTGCCAAGGAGTCATTTGGCTATAGAAAGTTAATCATTACTGCTCGGAATTTCATGAATATCTGAACTTATGCCTTTTTTTACATAATAAACGCGATCATACACTATCACTATCACATTGATAAAATTTCCACAACATTAAGTATTCGAATAACTTTCATATTGATAACTTTATTATCTGATCTATTTTTTACAAAAAAGGAAAAAAAAATTGGACAAAAAATCCCAATTCACTTTAATCTAAGAAAAATAATCGCTTCCATAAAAAGAAGAACTGAATACATTTTGATATAATTATCACAATGATAACAATGGAAATGACATGAAAAAATGGAACCAATAAATGAATGCTGTCATTAAAAATAAGTATGATAATTAATTTATTTATCAGTCTGTTATGAAAAAAAGCGAATCAAAATCAGCAGAAATTAAAATCTATAAATAATATTTTATAAGAGAAAAATTAAAAAGCTTCCAAGTATCAATGTTGGTACTATTGTCCACTTCTTTGCTGCATTCATCTGCAATTAGTCAAGGTTGTTCAAGTTGACCTGTTTGATCTTTCTCATCTTATTCAATATTTCTATAGGCTTAATTTCAAATTACAATAGAATATACAACGATTTATAAAAGAAAATACCTGCGAGACTTTTTCCCTATCGGTATTCATCACTTCGTTTTTCACGATTTGATTTTCATCTTCATTCACGACCATAATAGTCCGTTCTGCTTCATTTGAAGCACCAACATTATTTGGTTCAGTGGTCATCTAAGAATGCTATATAATTAGCGTCTGAGAGACAATTTTCAAGTTATTTGGAATATTATTAATAAACGAGGCAAGCTAGTGGGAGAAGTCTATTGAGATTATTGCCTTGGGCACATAAAATTTTCTTTTCTTGCCTCCAACAGGAATAAACTTTTCATTAAAAAAAATACAAGCACTGCTAAAGGTCTCTTCTATTCAAGTAAAATTTCTTATAGATAAGTTGAGTTCAATATAGCCTGAAATTGCTTGATTTTATGATAGGCATATTTAGAATTAACAGTTAACTGTAGTTGTTAAAAGAGTAAAAAAAGGATACTTGATTAATTGTTGCTGAATTTGCTTACTTACTTCTTCTATTTTTTCAATTTTCAATTAAGTTTTTTTCAGAAAAAAAGTAAAAAATACATTATTATATTTTATCAGCTGAAAATTCATCATTATCAGCTTAAAAGCTGATTAAATATGGAAAAATTCTAAAACAATAAATTATTAGTGAACTAACTACGACTTCATTTTTCGTCTTGAAAACGGCCGCTTCAGTATCAGAAGTTTCCATAGTTGATTTGGTCGGTTCAGGCTCTCGATCAGGAGAGGTATCAATTTCGTGTGGGAAATTTGCCATCTAAAAAAATTTATTTATTTGGAAAAAATTAGAATTTTTTATCAAAATTTTTTATTAAAAAATTAAAATTTAAAAAATTATTATCCTTAAAATTTTATGATTATTGATGGATGACCGCATTTAAAGCAATACTAACATCGACGACATCTTCTGAGGCAACAGAAGGCTTAGGTGAAGTACTTTCGATTTCCACGTCGAATATGCGAGTGCTTAACCGTTCAATGTCATCGGTGAATATAGGTTCTTCCGCATTGAAGGTATGCTATGAAATAAAACGGTTGATCTTTTTTATGGAAAGTCAAATTAATTAATTTTATAAAAAATCTGCTAAATTTTGAATAATTTTTAAGTATTTTAGGTTTAACATTGAATTCTTAGTGAATTGATAAGAATAAACAATATTATGATATCTTGTTATCAGTTGTTAACTAAGAATTACATTAGTGAGATGGAGAACTTAAAAATTTAAAAAATTTGTGAAATTTCAGTATATAATAAAATTTATATGTTAACTAACCGTGTCTTCATTATCGTTAGTAACTTCGCTAAATTCATTAATGGATGCAACTTCAGTTACCATTGCTGATCCTTCATTTTCATGAGCAGTGAAAAGCTGAAAAACTTCAAAATTGTACTATTCATCCTTTTGGCTTGTTCCATTGCGACTAAATTAAGATTTTTCCAAACCTGTCGATTCGGTACCATATTTCTGAGATACACCTATGAGATAATGATCTCGCCATATGCACTGCTTTGTCAAATATTTGTCTCGCTTAATTAGCTAATTTAGAGGAATTCCTCTCTCAAGTCGCAAAAATGGAAAATGAATTCGAATCAGTGGTTTGCCTTTTTAATAATTGTTGTCAAAATGATCAATGGAGAGGAAATTAAAGGTAATTTTCATCGGCTCAGAGAAGTTTAATGGCATATCGAATAGCGAACCAGAGGATGATATATTTCAAATGGTATGGTATATGGTATATTTCAAATGGTAGATTTTATATTAATACTAAAATGACAGCTTTCATAAAAAGGAAAACAATAGCTGGATGGGAACCAATGAACCACGAATTAGATAAAACTAAATCTTTGTCTAGCTACCTAATGAAGGATAATCACGCAGGCGAAGCAAAGGAAGACTGCAAGCGGGTCGACTTCAAAAGTGAGATTTGCATCTGCAATTCGGTCGCTGTTAATTTTAGGTTTTAAAAAAGTACCACATCATATTGTAGTGGATCAATGATAAAACTGCATGATTTTGGTAGTGATTGTAGATAGATTTTTGCCATTTGTGCAGCAACTGTTGAAGTTGAATTTTCTGCATCATTATTGAGTCGAATACTTGCATCAATTACTTGTTTCAAGCCGATATCCTGAATCAATATTCCTATCATATTGATTATTATCATTCCTATTTTTAAAATTTATTGTCGTTATTGCCGTAAGGGGAAAAGAGATAATTAAGAGAACCAGATTTATCATGATAAAATCATTCATCAATTTGCCTTTCCATTTTTTTTTCACATTTTATTTTTTATAAATTTTTTAGATTCTAAAAGGATTTTTTAAATGGAATTTTATATAAATATTTGTTGAAATATTTTTGAAAAATCGCTTTCTGTTGTTTTTTTCTTTTTTCATTTTTTTCAAAATGATACAGAAATTAATCTTTGAAATTAATTTTCAATGTATTCAAAAATTTTTTCACGAATACGAATTTTTACCTTAAATAGTTCACCACTACCCGCACATTTCTTATTTAATTCCATTATAGAACATTTAACGGTGCATTCCAATTTGCTAGAAAATGAAAAAATTAATCTTATTCAGAAAACTTGGAAATCTTTTTATTTTTTCTTTCATTTTTAAAAATTCCTTAGTCTAAAAAGTTTTTTCATAAATAAAAATTCTTTATTGAAAAATTTTCTCAAAAATTTACTTATATAAAAAGGTTAAACAAATTATAAAATTTTGTTTTAATTACTCAAATTCTTTATTTATAATTCGCCTATTTTCCTAACGGAAATCAAAAAGAATTAATTTATTTCCTATGCGAGAAATTTTTAAATGAAAAATTCCACAATTAAGGGAAGTAAAAAATAATATTTCTTTATTATATTTCACTGTCTCATTTGTGAGCGAAAAAGTTCACTGACTGAAGAAATTTTTAAAAATTTTCCCTCAATTTATTTGATTTATAAAGGTTATTTCTCCTGGAACCTTTGGTTAACCGAGGATAATTTCAATTTAATGATAATTGAGTCCTAAAAATACCTACTTGATGACCTATGTATTTTTCTTAACTAACTATTTCCACAGGTTATCGGTTCGCAATTAAGATCGATCGCCTGTCGTAGCCAATTTCAATATTAATAACTAAATGAACTAGCGGGTGAAAATGGTACTTGCATATAGGGACGATATTTTCTACAAAAGTGAATGGATTGACTGGGGCCTCAGGCGTTGAATCCAATTGCAAAGTCGTATTAGCAGGTTCCTGACAGTCATTTGAACATTTATCAATTATTCCAATTTCTTGTGACTGCATACATTCGCTAGCTAGTCGAAATTCTATAATATCCATTAAAAATTCATGATCTTCTCGAATCATTTGTAAATATTAAGATAATAAATAAGGCATGAAGTGATTATTTAAATGATAAAAATTTATCAACTTTTCTAAATTAAAACCTTCGATTTTTTCATTACAAATATAATTGCTTAGGCCAATTTGTTTTTTCAATTCATATTGATCATTTTCATCGCATGATTTGGCGCAATCAGTTAGCTCCTCATATGACCTATAAAATGATTTTCAGAACTATGATGTTTGTCATTTATCAAAATTTTAATTTCACCATCTAACAAGTATTTGTTTGTTCAAAAAATTTTTACAATTTAACAAATCTTGAAATAGTTCATGCAATATGAGAGATATTGAATAGCACCTTAAAACCATCTATTTGAATGGTACCACTATAAGCTTTATTACCAATGCACTTACATAATTGCTTTCATTAAATCTCTTTTATACCCACAGTGGCATCTATAAAAAAATATTCAAAAATATTTAAAAATAATTTTGCTTAATTTTCATTTATCCCATTTTAATGATCCGATATTTTTCTTAAAATAGAACTCGTTTTTTTTAAATTTATAATTAAAAACTTAAATTCAATTTTGAAAGCAGAAAGATTGCTTAAAAAATCTTAAATATTTCTATTTCAATTTTTCTAAAACTGGAAAACATGAAAATATCAAAAATGAAAAAGATTAATAAAAGATTTAGAAATATTTAAAAGAAAAAACAAAATAATACAATTCATTTTTTTTTTAGCAAATTTTTCTAAAAATTAAAAATAAATAAATATCTTTATTAAAATTTTCAAAAAATTTCTTCTAAATTCTTTATAATTCTTTCTTTATATATAAGAAAATTTAAATTTAAAATTTTTTTTTTTAAAATTTTGGTTTTTTTGGTTTTGGGATGATTTTATTTGCGAATAATTTGGCTCGTATGTAATCCTAACTGCAAAATGATTTCTTGAACGAGATTCCTCATCAAAGATACTTTCTTATAGCAAATACAATGAGCCGAGTCAGCACTAACCTTACTATTTACTTAAAATCTTACTTAATATTTTGCAAATTTCAAATGTTGAAATATGATGATCATCAATAATGTGTTAATTTTTTTTAATATTATTTTTATAAAGTGAATAAAGATAAATTTAGCGAGAAGCATCATGAAAGAAATACTTTACATGAGCACATGAATGGATAATTGTTGATTTTTAATGTATATTTTTATTATTATTATTTTGTTTTCTATGAAATTAGAAATGATAAAGCAAATATTATTAATGAATCGTCCATCATATTAATGCTTAATAAGTGAAAATTCAACGAAATTCGTAAAAATCTTCTTGAAAACTCGTTTTTGAAAATGCGATTATTCATTTTCGATTTTAAAATTTCTTAATGTAAAGCAATTTTGCGATAATGTTGAAAAACAAGCATGAAACAGCGAAATATATTAAATTTGCTTTCAATTCTAATTTATCATTTTAGAAATGAATTAATCGCTATTTTAGGCAAAAATAGCGAATTTATAAATTTACAAATTTACAGATACAGATTTTATATGAAACATATAACTATTATAGAAATAATCTTTTTCATCGAAGATTAGTTATTAAAAAAGAAAAAAAAAAAAAAAAAAGCTTTAGTCATTATGATATTATAAGCGAATTATCTATAGATCTTTCAGCTATGATTGTATATTTCGTGATGGGTGGTAATAAATGTTGTAAAAACGCTATAGATGATTTTAAAAAAATAAAAAGCTAAAAAAATATATCAAAATTATATTTGTCGAACGAAAAAAAAAAGAAACAATTTAAAAATATTAAATATATATATATGAAACAAAAAATTTCACTAATATTTTCTTATAAGTTTTTTAAAATATTTCAAATAAATTTTAATAATTTGGCTTTTCCTTGAAAATTTAGTAAATTTAGAGAAAAAAATTTTTTTTTTTTTGTTTTTGCTATTTGCTATTTTTTGTCTTGGCTGGTATTTATTTGATTTTTTATTAATACCAACTGTTACATGCATGTGCTCCTTGTTATGAATTCAGTTGAGAATAGAAATAAATGCGTGTTATTAGATTTATTATTAGTTTAATAAGAGGTTTGCTTCTATCGAGGAATCGAAATCGAATTCGTATTGGAATTTATTTCCAAAGCTAAAGTAATTTACCACTCAACCATATTGAAAGTAAATATTAATTGCGATCGCATTTAAAATTTAGGAAAAAAAAATGTTTGCTTAAAAATAAATTTATTTTTACCCAACTAATTTCCGTTTAAATTCCGATGTGCAAAGAAAAAAAAAAGAAAAGTTTGAGAACTTATAAATGATTAAATTGTTATGTGAAAGTTTTTTCCGCAAAATTGGCAAAATTTTGTTCGCCACTGCGGGAGTTTGGAAATTTGTTAAAAATTTTACCGAGCGAAGGACGATAAAATCCCTTTTTTTTTTAAAAAAATTTCTATCCCCTATCACGATTTAATATATTGAATATTTGTATAACAAATCAATATATAATATATTAAAAATATTGATTATTGGTTAGCAATAATAATAATAATTAATAATCGATATTAATAAATAATAATTCATGTTTTTCAAGCAATGAAAAATAAAATATTATTATAATAATATATAAAATTTATTCAAATTATATTTCAATAATTTTTTTAATTTCAATATTTATTTCAATATTTCAATATTTATATTAAAATTTTAAAGAAATATTTATTTAAAACATTAGAAATATTTTGAAATTAAAGAAATAATTGAAATTTAATGGATTGGTTGACAAATGGAATTTGGAAATTTTTGGAAAACCAGTACTTCAAAGCAAATTCCTATACATACTTATTTGTTTCTTATATTTATTTATTAATGAGCCATCCATCTATCGAAAGAATCTGGTTTACAAAAATCACAATAATCAAATGTTGATAAGTGATAAAAGAACCAATTCTGCTATGCTATTTTGCAAGCTGGACGAACATCTTGAAATGCATGAAAACTTGTTATACCGCTAAATTGTTTCATACATGATTTATCGTATTTTTCGCTTTTTTTGATTAATTTTTTCTATTGCTTCCACTTGCCTTTGATAAGAAATATTGATAATAAAGCAATTGATAAGATTGATAGCAAAAAAAATTAAATTTGGAAATTAACTAACTTGCAGAAATTATCGATGCTTAACGTAATACTTTCGAAATTTCGTAAATTATTGGACGTGAAAATGACAGATCGATGTCGAAGGCATGAAATAAGGCATTCACTCGTTAAAGGTATATTTGTTGGTGGATTTTGTGCTGAAATATTTTACAATATTAAAGCTTTAAAGCTTTATCACTATTAAAATTTACCATCTATTGAACTTGAAATATAATATCCAAAAATTAATCATAAACTTACCTTTTATAATCCATGAAAATCTGATTTTAAATATGGCATTATTTTTATTATTTATATACAAGTGATCTTTATTATTTATTTGAAATAATTTTTTATTATTTGTTTAAAAATAGCTTTTATGATTTATTTAAAATAATTTGCAAAAAATATTAAGCAAATGGATCCATTATACGAAAAAAAATATATTAAAACTTTGTTGGTTTTGTTGATTTTGTTGATTTGTTGATTTTTTTAATCAGCACTTCTGATCATCGTCAGTGATAATATATTAAAGATTATAAAGACATTTGGACTAAAGGCAATTAGTACAGTGGCCATACCACGTTGAAAACACGATCTGTCAAGTTAAGCAACGTTGGGCTTGGTTAATACTAGGATCGGAGACGGTCTGGGAATCCCAAGTGCTGTAAGCTTATGCAAAGAATACTATAGACGACTATAATGATCTTCGAATTCCCTGAACATCACCTTAAAGCACTCTTCGAAAACCACTTCGATTCCTGCTAAATATTTCCACACATATGCAAAATTCCTATTATTATTCCTCGGTATTTTCTCATTATACTTCTCATTGTTGCAATTCATTTTGTGCTTATCGCTCTTTTGCGATTTATTTTATAAAGTAAAGCTGGATAACAAAGTTGGACTTGTTTATTAAAAGGCCGTTATAAAAGGCTGAATAAAACGAAAGGAAAACAGCTGACTTTGAGAAGATTAAAACAGGTTTGACGATCTTAAGATAGTACTAGTACCAATTGATTATAGCAAAGGAATAGCATAACACTGTGGATATTTAAGAGATATTATAGTTGTAATGCTGGCGACTCACTTACACTTCTATCGTCAAAGGATTTTCTTAGTATAGCCGGCATATTTGTTGAATGCGATAAGCTAACAAAACAAGTTTAACCAGTATTGCTGAAGGCTTTAAAACAAAAAAAAGTTAGACGATATTCTAAAATGTCGAAACTATCTGCCAAGATTTCAGGAATAAGCATGTTTCTTTTCGAGTACATACATCTAAGAACGAAAATTTCTTCATCGAAAACAACCTTATTCAATTTTTTTTTGTCTAACCATTGAAATTATAAATTCCTTTAAAGAACTCATCTAGTACTTGAAAATTATTCCAATAAATTTATTCATGAAGGTCGTTATTGTTAATCGTGAAAAAGAAAAGAAGGAAAAAAATAAACACAATGAATTTTCTTTTTTCGAAATAATTTTCTTTTTGATTTTTTTTTTTTCCAATCATCAATTATTTTAAATATTTAAATATTTTTTAAAATTATTTTTAATAAATATTATTTCGTTGATGAAATATTTTAGTGAAATTTTAGATAATTTAATGTAGGGAGAGAGACAGGTTAGCCGAGTAATTATTGCTCATTTCGCTTATAAATCTTCGATAATTCCATTGTAGCAGCTAATTGTATATTATTATTAAAATTATTTTTAATAGAGTGAATTAATTGAATTTTAAAATTTTCATTCATAATTTCAATTATTAATGCATCGAATGGTTCAAAGGTTTTGTTGTTTCTCATTTCAAAGTATCAATTTCTCGTACTTTTCAAGAGGATATATTTTTCATTCAAAAATCTAAACGATACTTAGTGGATTACTTGTATTTCTATTGCTAATTCCTTAGCAAAAATTCTCTCATTCAATAACCGAAACGAACCAAATTAAAAATGTTGAGCGCTATTTAAAAAAAAAAAAATCAACTTTTAAAAAAAGACGGAGAGACAAAAAACGAAGAAATAAATATAATTAGAATTGAAAAAATTCAGAATTCAGAAAATATGAAAAAAAAACTTTGAAAAAAAATAAAACTATGATTAATAAATGAAAAATTGCTTGAAATTGGAACATGCAAAATCGGCTAAACTTCTGATTCGTTTATTCAATTTGTTCAATGAATTGCATAAATTATATTTAAAGTTTTCTATAAAAGGATACTTCGAGAAAATTACTTTATTTCAAACTTTTCTTTTTTGGATTTTTGATTTTTC